GTTTCCTGGACGGGGCCGCCTTTTACAGCTGCTTTTTCTATGTCTGCTTCTGTCTCCTTTAACCTCAGTCAGCTTCGGCAGATAGCCGCTCTCACTCAGCCTTGTTCTTCCTGTTGAAAGTGAGTTTTTTCTTTCTACTGTCCCTACAAGCATGCTTAGTGTGAGGTATCGCCTTTGATTCAAAAAGTCGATATAATCAACTGGTTTTCCCTAGATAGAAAACTTTAAATCAATTTGACTGGATGACCTGGTTCAATTGTCTCTGTAAAATGCCTTGAGATGACATGTGAGTGCCAACCTAGAGCACTTTATAGTTCACCAGATCATACAGTCAAATTGATTTAAAGTTTTCTAAGGAAAGCCAGATGATAGCATCGACTCATTGCCTTAAATGCAATCCCTCACACCAAGCATGCTTGTAGCGACAGTAGAGAGAAAAAAAACGACCTTTTAACAGTAAGAAACCTCCAGCAGAACCAGGCTCATTGTGAGCGGCCATCTGTCGCAGCTAACTGGGGTTCAGAGAGACAGAACGATGCAGTCAGCTAGAGGGCGCTGAACATCCTGTGGTGGTCTGGACGGACCATAAGAATTTATCTTACCTTCAGTCAGCTAAGAGGCTCAACCCTCGTCGATCACACTGGTCATTATTCTTCTCACGATTCAACTTATTCATTTCTTTTTTCTCTCTCCAGACTATTCGCAACAGATGATTCCGAGAGAACTCCCGCCCTCATTTTCTCACCTAGCTGTTCTGTGGCTACAGTGACCTGGGAGATTGAGGATCTTGTAAAGAAAGCTCAACAATCAGAGCCAGATCCCAGCACCGCCCCCCCAATAAGATTTATGTTCCTACACCAAAGTGTGCAAAGTGTGTAACTCCCTGAAGTTGTACTGTTGCGCTCAGATTAACACACCAAGTAGGATGTCAGAATGTTAACTGCGAAGAGGTTTGCTCTCTTCTTGTTATAATTAGAAAACTAATTGTGTTTCTTTTTGCAGATTGTTATGTCTCCAATCTTTTTGTCCAACATAGACTAGACTAAAAAGACCATGCAAAAAGAGTACAACACTCAGCCATAATACAAACTAAAAATAAATAAATACACAAACACACACATGCACTAGTTATACCCAAGTCAGATAGACAAGACAGGAATTGCCCAACAAAAATTCTATACAAGTATATAGCAGCAATTTTAATTTCAAACTTCAGTCTAAAAGGGGTTGACATCTCCTTCAGATCCAATAGTTGCTCAGCCCCAATCACAACTGACACCAAGGGCTTCTTAGTGGTCATGTTCAAACTGCTCATGACAGCTCGGCCTAATCTATGCCCAATTGATCCAATATTCTTCAACTCCCCCACTCCAACCCATCAATGCAATATTTATTTTACCTTGAAGATTAAAAGAAACGCTCCCACCTTTCCTGAAGAATTCAAATTAAATAGCTTCAAAGAGAAGCAAAACCCACTGTTAGGATGAAAAGAGTTGTTCAATTTATTTTTAAAGGGATTTTTTTCTGTGATGATTAAAATGTTTCTGCGTTTCTCAGTCTTGTCCTCTGTGTTACATGCAGTGCTGTTCTCGTTTGGATAACCACATGATGAAGTGATTTTCTAACATCGGTAAGAGAGGGAATGAATATAAGGCCAATAACAACAGATTTATTGTTGTTGATGCAGAAACATCAAGTTTTGCCATTTCTGGACTGTGCTCTGCATATGGAGGATAATGGAAACCTACACATATACACCAAAACCTGCACTGTGACTCACACCACCTGCTGGAACATACATTTTCTGCTATCAGAGATTTGACAGTATTCCCTTAATTACTTAGAACAAACGAAAGGAATACAAACATGTTAGGAAATCAATTGAAGTTTTGGATA